TGCATTCCGCTTTCGGGCAACTTTGGTGCAGAGGTCAGTTTCTATTTTTAGTGCACCCCTATGTCTCCCCACTTCCTGTGCGACAACCCATTGAGCCCTTGTTCTATGCGACCAGCCAACTACAGTCCTCTCCCTATATAAGGATTGTAGTTAGTAGGGTGTATAGGGAAAGCGTTGTGCTGCTCTGGGAGGAGGGATTGCGCTGGTATGTTTCCTATTTACTTCTTCTTTTCCCCTCCTATAATTCTAAAAGTCAAAGGGGCTCAGTACACTACACCCAGAGGATATGAAATGGGTTGGTGATATAGATGAAAACAAGGTGTAGGGGAAAAGGAGTTACAGAGACGGACTGTGAGTGTAGCTATTCCTGGGAAGGAGGAGTGGGAGACAGCCGTGGGGGATGGGAGTGGTTGGTGGTTTGATTGGGTGTTAGTTGGAAGCCGATGTTTTGAATTGAGCTTGATGAAGGAAGTTCTTTTGGTTAGATTCAAGGTGATGTTAGGGGGGGGGAGGGAATATGTTGAGATGGGGAGAGGCAGTAGGATGAGCGTTAGAGCTGATTTGATGTCTTAATGGCAAATTATAGTATTTTTGTGTTACAACATACAACATAGAAATTTCCCTGCTGTGCTTTGTTTAATGAAGCTTCAAAGTAGAGTTGTTGAATGAAAGAAGTCAAGAACTGGTATTGAGGAGAATGAAGCCAAGGACAGGGTCGTGAATAGAAGATGATAATTAGACTAGAGCATTCACCGACTTAATCGCACAGAAAGATTCACGTAAACAGTTGTCTATTTACAACACAGTATACAAGGTGACATCGCAGCATACTACATCTACCGTGTTATGTCTAGATGAGTAGCTGCAATTCTTTAAATAGAGTAGGTATCGAAAATGTTAAGGCTTCAGATACTTTTACTCCATAGCTGTCACTACCAAATATTGCCTTGTATATAGGACGGTGATCACTAATGAGAGGAAGCTTATAGCTTGTGTTGGTCTTTCTAAGTACTCCATAAACTCCGACACGCTCTAGTCGCTATTCACTTTTCACTAGTGGAGACTAGATCTTTATTGTCGAGAATCCTACTGTTATCGATTACAAAACTATATAGTTCATTAACACATCATCTTAAACCTCTATCAACTAACGCAAAAGTAAGTGAAAGAATACACCTCAGCAGCGGCAGGATTTTGGGCATCCGTTTTAGAAACGGACCCGAGTTAGTGAAAGCCTCGAACTACATGCAACTCTACAGTGGCAAGAATTTTGGAAGTAATAAAGTGGCAGACGCTTTACGACATGACATATACTGCTAAGTTGGTAGTATAATTTTCAAAATCAAGGCGCAGCCAGATTGTGAACTGCGAGTTTTAAGCAGAGAAACCATTCACGCTTGCTCGCCAACTCCGTTGGTGAAGTCGTTCTAGCTTATAAGTAATTCTAGGCCTGTAAAATGGAACACGGCGGGATGATGACTGTGAGTGTTCTACATCCATTTGAATGAAGGTGAAGTCTGCAGGATGTCTTCTTTTCACATGTATTAAGTCAATAATATCACGTGATCAACAAATAGTCACGTGTAACGCTAGACTTAGCTCCGGTAGATAGATCTAGCTCTCCTTCGTTTCTCAGAGGTTAGACACTGCTTTTGTATAAGTCATGGAACCCTCGCATACTAGTGTGATCGTTCGACCATTTTTCATACGCATAGGCTATTAATATGAGGTCTTCCGAGCCGAGGGGTTAGAAAGGTCATTCTACATTCGTTAATCTTGAAGGGATTAGGAGAACGCAAGCCGGATAAGGTTGGGAGGGAACTGGCAAGCAATACGATACTCGGGGGTTTATGGTGGCTGGTACTCGAGTAGTGACAGGTTGTGCAAATATATTTTTCCCCACTTTCAGTCAATTTGTATGGCCACCACACTATAATAGTTCTACTCAACATTAGCTAGTTAGGCTCGCGTACTCGAGTAATAGTCAAGGAAATTGACAGGGCGGTGGCAGCTTTCTGCCAGTAAGCTAGGCTCGAGTAGTGTTTCGATCATTATGACTAATCGAATTACGACGGAACAGATTATGACTAATAGGATTGCAACGGAATAACTATTAATCCCGATTGAAAACGGGACTCTCTAGGAAAACAAAAGTTGGGATTGTAGAAAGCTAAGGATAAAGGTCGAATAGATTAACTTGGTGATAATAATAGCATAGCTTACGAGCCTAGGCCACCGCCATCAGCTGGGTTGGAATTTTAGGTCATCAATTTATCAACACCATGAAATTATATACTTCTGGATCCATACAATGCAGCAATACTATAAATACACAGTAGCTAATGTTTTGTAGACTATCATAGTGTGGTGGGCATACAAATTGTCTAAAAGTCGGAAGTCGAAAGCCGAAAAGTCGGAAAGTCGGGAGTCATCAATTTAACAACACCATAAAATTATATACTTCCGGATCCATACAATACTATAAATATACAATTGCTAATGTTGAGTAGACTATTAAAGTGTGGTGGGTATACAACTTGTCTAAAAGTCGGAAGCCGGAAAGTCGGATTTTTAGGTCATCAATTTGACAACACCATGAATTTATATACTTCCGGATCTATACAATACTATAAATACAAGTCCGAAAGTCGGAAAGTCGGAAAAATCTACATTCCATTCTCCTAGCAGCATAAATAGGCATCTCTCTCCTATCAACCCCTCCCTCATTACGGTTCCACCCAACTGCAAAGAGTCCCCATCAATGCGACGTACCCAGCGAACACAAAGGCTACATAGTTCGCAGTCCTTCATCTTCATTATTCCTTTCCAAAGATTAATCTTTGTTCGTTGCTAGGGAATTTTTGTTTTGTCGGTGAATGAGTAGAATTTTCTTGTCGAGAATTTTAGTACTGTCGAGGCCTGTAGAATGTATTGTCGAAACCTGTAGTAGTTCACGCTTTAAAATGATATTCTCTTAAGGTTAATAGATTAAGGAGCTCACGGTTATTTGCATGCCCCTTTGGTGCCGGGCTTGTGTAGGATGAGGTTAAGGAAGATAAACGTGAATGTTAAGCTCTCGATATACATACGTACTTGCGATAGTGAACTTAGAGATCAATAGCGGTTTATAAATAGAAAACAAAGTGATCGTATGTTTAGTATTAACATAAGAGATTTCTGATATACAGTATCTCCAAGACACAGCCGGATATTCTGTTTGGAACTCCTGCATACGTGCATCCCTTGTTCCTCGGTTGAAGAGTCGAATGTTCCATTCCCCTAGATCTTCGTTGTTTTTGTCTAGTGTATGACTATACTCGTAATAGTGCGTAAGATACTTATACCCGGGGAAGGAGGTAGGTGAAGAGGGTAAACTGGTTCCCACCCTCCTTGGACTTTTCCAATTTGAATATTCTTCTGAGGCTTGAAATAGTGATCACTATCATCCTACAATCGTCCGTATATATTTTGTGTTATAGATGTTAAGCCGTGAAGTGAAGATAATCTGGTGTAAGATCTTGGCTTGTAATCCTAGCTAGATAATTACTAGTGGGATTGGTAATACGAATCATGCACCTAAGTAGCTTATTATTCATACTAATCTTCCTTTCCTAAACAATCCCCCCTACAGCAGAGGGCGATAGAGAACCACTAAACCCCTGATAAATGATCCACTCGCTACGAAAATGGGGCTCGTCATAGGGGAGGGGTTTGTCTAAACTAATGCGAAAGTGTTGAAACATAGGATCACTAATGCTCTAATTTCTAGGGTCGGCTTGTAGGAATCATTGACGATATATTGTAATGTCAGAAGTGCGGCCCCGAGTTATGCCAAAGGGCACAGACCACGACGCTAGCAAACCACTAGTGACATCATGTAACTAGTTTACTCATACCGATTCACTTCTACATTCAACAGAAAGTTTGAAAGATAAATTAAGTGAAGGTCCCTCGGAAGAATAATCTCTAGACTCCTTTACGCCTCCTTCTTACACCTGTACGGGTTCGTTAGTGTTATCTATAGTAATTTTGTTTGTCTTTCATAGCTTAAACCTAGCCATTCTAATCAGATAAGTATGCTAACACCCGTTGTAGCGTGGTTATACCTATGCTTGGGGGGGAGGCACTTAAATATGTTTAATAAAATATATCTATACTGAAACATCGAAGTTGGAGTCACGACAGAAATATTCTATCTATCCTACTACTTCGCATATCCTTTTATCCTCACGACATAGAGTTACTTCAATATCCTAGCATATCAAAGTAAATATACGAGATACCTAAACCGGATAGGAAGAGTCCCATTGGACAGCCAGAAAACTTACCTACTGCGGTCGTGGATATTATAAGCAATATCAAATCAGGACCTAGCGTAGACTAGCTGTCTTTTGCTTCTCTCTTACTAGATCTAGCGATTATGGTGGGAGCTAAAAGAGTAGTCCCTCTAGGTCTCCTGTGACAAAAAATCATAGGACTTTCTATATTTACGTCTTAAGATATGTGTGCTGTTCACGGTGGTCTTTAGCTACCTGACAAAAAGCAGAGCAGCCTTTCTTTTGACTATCTTATCTTAGGAACCAAATTACCCAAACTTCAGCACAACAACTCGGGGTTGGCTTTGAGTGCTTGAGTGCAGAAGTACTCTTCTCTAGCTCAACATTGGACCGCTTCCGATAAATTATAAAATGAGAACTAGTCATTCCAGGAAAGGTGAAGGTAAAACCAATAGTTGATGGGTTTAGATGCATGCTTTATATAAATATGAAGTAAGTTAAAGAGATATAATCTTGCCACATAGCCAGTTGCCTATTTAAGCGCTGTTTCTGGTTGCGCAAAAAGCACAAGCCAAGCATATCAAAGGGGTGGCAACCCCCTCACCGCTTAACACCGCCCCCTTACACAACCACCGAAAACAACTACAACATAACAACAGCAGCCCCCAGCCACATTCAACTAACGCTAGCGCCTTTAACATACCCATAAATCCAAAAAATATGGGGTCTTACCGCGATTCGAACGCGGGGCCTCTCGCAACCTGAGCTGTAGGGTGTACCCTAAGCGAGAATCATACCTAGATGGGAGTCAGGATGAGAAATTCTGGGTGAATTATGAATTGATGACTTACCACTAGACCATAAGACCTCTGATTTGTTGACTCGTTATGGGGCTATTTTAATTTATGAAATGGTTTGTGGGGGTGTTTTGAGGGCCCCACACGTTGGGGTATGGTCACGCCGATGGGGGAATGTAACAAGTCAGCAAGGATTTATTCTACAAAGAAATATGTGAAGGGTGAATTGGTGTATTAGTGTGTCTTTCACTAGGTGTTTAGGGTGTTATAAGTGTAGGGAAGTAATTGGAGGTAGTCGAGTATGTCACATCAATGCGTTACTAAGACAAGTATAACCCATTTACCCCTCAGCATCGAGAGATGCTCCTTAATATCTTATATGCTTCTTAAGACGGGGAGTGGAGTTTTAATAGTACACTCTCTGTCCTATCTCTGAGAGGCCAAGTCCTTTTCAATTGACAATATTGCTGTATAGGAATGAAAGCAACACCGTCGAGCTTGTCGGATTTTCTCAAGAAAAGCCTTCTCGTTTAAGTTACCGGCGAGACACCCTGAAAGACTGCTCAAGATGCCTCTCTGACATCATACTTTGAACAATAGAACCATTCAATTGGAGGACAAAAGATTTCCCAGGCTTCCATGTTGCTCTAGGCTCTCCTCATTCTTATTCACAATGTCAAAACGTACACGCCACCTCCATGCCGGCAATTACATTTCTCGGGGCCTCTTCGCTAATCCGCCTTCTGAAAGATATATTCCAAGCCAATGCCTTATCAAAAGCTCAGTTCGAGCAATAGAACACGGCCTTCACGAAGCCATCTGTAACTGCCTGACAGAAAGACCTGAACGTCACCAAATTGGACTTCCGTTTCTGAATCGCAACTCGGAAGACTTCGGTCTCTCGGAGAGATGTACATGCAAAACGACGTGGGACAAGCACTGCTTTGAAATGTCCCTCTCGTTGACTTTCGGGGATAACACCTCCCAATACGGATAAGGAACCCATTAACCCGCCTACCCAATCAGCAGTCTCCAAAGCCGAGTGCCTCCGAAAATTGGATCTGCCGCCAAATCATAAATAGCCAAGAGCGGCCGTGATAGTGTTGCCCCTCTTTCCGACTGCGAGGAAAATCCGACCTCCGCAACGACCCCTCCTTCAAAACCAAAGCTCCGATGACATCCACCCTTTAGAGCTACATAAACATAACCAAAAAACAAACAGACATCAAGGTGTTCTGGAAGAAAGTCTAAATTACATAAACCACTTTATCGAATTCCAATCATCAATCAGCAGAAATGTCCACTGTTGGCAAGGTATGTTTTTCCCTATTGATGGGGAGGCCACACACCCCAACGACATCACAATGGCTGATTTTATGTGTGTCCTAGACTATCACTTGTAAGGTCAGTAATGCTCGAATTGTCGATATAACGTGCGCGGAAAATAACAAATTGGAAGGCGGCGGTTGCATGGGAAGCTGGAAAGGACTTGACAATCGAGGATATCGAAGTCCTCCCTCCACGAGCCAACGAAGTCAGAATCGAGATTTACTACACGGGCGTTTGCCATACGGGTACATCCACACACGTCACGTTGAATAGGAGAATTGAATGCTGAACACAACGCAGATGCATACACCCTCTCTGGAAAGGACCCCGAGGGAGCTTTCCCAATCGTGCTAGGTCATGAGGGTGCAGGCATCGTAGAATCAGTTGGCGAGGGAGTGACCTCTGTCAAACCAGGAGACTATGTCGTAGCACTCTAGTAGAACCCCCCACCAAGGCCTGGTCACTTAGAACCAGATGCTAACGACGTATAATAGCACACCGGAATGTAAAGAATGCAAATTCTGCAAATCTGGCAAGACCAACCTCTGTGGGAAGATCAGAGCCACTCAAGGCAAAGGCGTCATGCCCGACGGCACCTCGCGCTTCAAATGCAAGGGCAAAGACCTCCTGCACTTCATGGGCACATCCACGTTCTCGCAATACACCGTCGTAGCAGACATCTCCGTGGTTGCGATCACCAAAGATGCCCCTATGGACCGGACATGTCTTCTCGGCTGCGGTATCACCACCGGTTACGGCGCCGCTGTCGAGACCGCGAAGGTCGAGGAGGGCTCCACCGTCGCCATCTTCGGTGCTGGATGTGTTGGTCTGTCGGTGGTTCAGGGAGCGGTGCAGAGGAAGGCGGGAAAGATCATCGTGGTTGATTTGAATCCGGGTAAGAAGGAGTGGGCTGACAAGTTCGGCGCCACTGATTTTGTGAACCCGAGTGATTTGAAGGGGCAGACGATCCAGGAGAAGTTGATTGAGATGACAGATGGCGGATGTGATTATACTTTTGATTGCACGGGGAATGTGGGGGTTATGAGGGCGGCGTTGGAGGCGTGCCATAAGGGTTGGGGACAGAGTATCGTTATTGGCGTAGCTGCTGCAGGACAGGAGATCTCTACTCGTCGTAAGTCAACATCCCCTATCCTTCCAATCCCCTCAAAACTTAAAACTCACATCCGCCACCAGCCTTCCAACTAGTCACCGGCCGCGTCTGGAAAGGCTGTGCCTTCGGCGGCATCAAAGGCCGCACGCAACTCCCCGACCTTGTCGCCGACTACATGGCCGGCAAGCTCAAAGTCGACGAGTTCATCACGCACCGCAAGAACCTCGACGGCATCAACGACGCGTTCGAGACGATGAAGCAGGGTGATTGCATTCGTTGCGTGGTGGATATGAGGAAGTGACGGTGCTCTAAGCTCTGAGTTCTTTCTGGACGGCTCACTGCGGAAATATTAGTCGATGCGGAGTTTGATCAGATAATCTTACAAAAGAGTACTACTACAGTAGAGGGGGATGTACTGTATATATTAGGATCAATCGAGTCCAGATACACACTGCAGATGGTTCTAGTGAAGAAAGTTGTGAGATTGATGGAGATGCATAATTACCACGACTCACTCGCAATCAAATAACCAGAAGAGCGTGAATCAAAGGTCTGAGTAAGCCCAACCGCTTAGGCCGGAGACGTCGACCGCCCTGTATTAGCTAATTATTGAAGAGAAAACAAATCATTCTCTCATTTTACATAGGATACAACAATGCGGAATATGTGTTCGCCTAGACGCCTTGTCACTCCAAATGGCGCCTCCACCACAGCTGAAATCGTCAACTAATACTAGAGCTAATAACCTATAATTTGTCTCACGGAAGGTTTCGAAGGATTCCTCTACTTCCGCGCCTTGGGAATATAACGTCGTTCCCTTTCTAGTCCCGTGACATAGGTCATACGAAGGAGTTCGCCCCGGCTGCCTCTTACCAAACGCCTCACCGTAGGTCTCCCCCCCAGCTTCCACCCCGCGCACGATAGCGGGCTCTCCTCCATCAAAGGACCCCTCGGTTTTCCTGGACGGGCCGCCTCGAGATAATGATCTCCCTCGCGATCCCGCTAGCCTGGGCCGCCATCGCCGCCGCATTTGAAGTGGGCGAGTCGCGAGGTCCTGGGGGTGGGGGTTAGGGGTGGGCCCGGTGGAAAACGGCGCTGACGGCGTGGTGCGAAAGAGAAGGAGAAGGAGAAGAGGAAGAAGAAGAAGTAGGAGAAACATGGCGTGGGATTACGTTTCTCCCCCCCCCGGCATTTCACGGACAGGTCGAGGAGACGGAGACGGCGACGGCGACGGGTCTGGTGGTCTCGCGGTACGGAGGAGAAGGCGCGAGGGCTGGAGGGAGGGGGCGTGGTGTGTTGGCCTGGCGTCCTATACATACATACATAGTACAAGTCCAAGGAGGACGTGACGGAGATCAGTCGAGTTGGCCACATATGGCAAACCATGGATGGTGCGTCCCCTCGTCGTCCGTCTCGCTCGTTTCCCTTCCCGGCCGGCTGGGGAGCTCGGCGGAGGCGCGGGCGGGCAGAAGAGAAATCTAGTCATGTCGTCGGCGAATTCACTCGAGGCCCATGAGGGAAGTGAAGACTCGATTCTGTATTTCATGACTCGGGGGCCGTGGCGTGGTTAACTCATATTGGGATGGCACTCTTGGCGTCGGGGGAGCTGAGGAAGTTAGGAACGAAGAGTGGGAGGCAATGATACCATCGTGGCAGATCACAGAATCAGAACAGCGCCACACGTTCAATTCACCGAATGCATTGCAGCGAGTATATGACGTGGCGATTGTCTGGATTCCCCAAACCACTCAAACCACCTAAACCACGTCGATGGTGACGGACAGTTCCCCAACCTCGCTCCCTGATTACGCCCGCTAAAGAACGCACCCATGCGACAGACGTGTGGTTGTCGCAGGATGGGCTGGTAATACAAATGCTCGCCAGAAAGCCAGAAGACCATTCCATGGGGCCATGAACGCCGTCCGACGTCTCACTATCCGATCCAATATACAGCTGTGAGAAGGAGAACTTGTCTCTAGGAAGTCCCAGTCCAACCAGCCACTACCTTAGATACCCTTGATAACTTGCGTTCGTTCGGCGTTTAACTGGGCGGCATTTCGGTCGTGGGACTCCTTCTTGCACTGTTGGTTCATGTGGTGTTAGCCAGGATGTCTTGAAGCACGCCACCTAATCCCACCAGCCACCACTGCGTCTCACCGCCAGAAACGAGAGGGGAGCTTACGTCTTCTAATCCATCGCACTTGTGATCCTCCAATAACCGGTGCTTTCCACAGTAGTGCCCATTACAGAAGCCGCAGTCTCCGATGATGCGCTGCGCACCATCCCTGCAGTCCTTGTACGTACAGCGGATCTTCTTGGGTGGCATGCCGCCTCGTAATGGAAGCGCTATGTGGAGTGTCGATTCTCGGGAGATGTTGTAGTCTGCGAGAGTGGACGAAGGAGATAGGTGCTTCCCAGCGTGGACGAGACGGATGTCGGATGCTGGGAGGGAGGTGCGGACGGAGAGCAGCGTGGTGAGATTCTCAATGGACAGATCTTGTGGTACTGTGAGAGCGAAAGCTGGAGAGACCGTCAGTGCTTGTTCTTGCGTGGGTCTGGAGACCGTGACTGCTCGAGGCGGTGTCGAGGCGGAATCGTGGTACGTACTATTACTGCCTGAAACGTTCTTCA